ATGACACCCGGTGCAAGGAGGGAGGCTTCCAGGGGCCAGACTTCCAGCCCTGGACTTCCGGCGGGCCTAGAAGGCCCCCAAAAAGCTCCAAAAAGGCCTCAAACAACCCCCAAAAGCCCTGGGCAGACCTAGAAGTCCCCCAAAAGCCCCCTCTGGGGGGGAACCACACTTGCGATCCTACCAAACTCTTTCCATTTTTATCTATTTTAAAGCCATCTCTCCTTTCCTTCCTTGTCCTCCTCCTCCTTCTCTCCTCCACCCAAGATCTGCTTCATTCTCCCCCTTCTGCTCAGCCTCTGCCTCCCCCGTTCTCCTTTTTTCCCTCCAAATCTTCCCATTGTTTCCATCCTCCAGCTTCCATTCTCCGAACGCCTTCCCTTTTCCAGAGGATGCCTTTAAGTGCTGCAGCAGATAATGGAGATCTATTCTCTGCAGCCTTCCTCGCCCTCCTTCCCCCTCTCTTCTTCTCCCTGGCTGCTGAGCCTGTTGAAATTTATAAGGGTTATTAAAAAGTCTTCCAGGCATTCTGAGGCTTAGTGCAAGGTGGGAATTGGTACCATCTGCAAATGGGCAAGAAGAGCATGGAGTTCAAACTCTGGGTCTTTTAGGTCTCCTATGTGCTGCTGGCAATGGCTGGTCGACACAGAGAAGTTCGATCCACACTTTTCACCTTCTGGACTTGTTCATGCTTCCTTTACCCACCTGAGTTATTGGTATGCCAAAGCATGCCCAGTTGTCAAGGAGAAGGAGAGGTGCCCCCAACGAATGCAAGGAAGCATCACACAATTGCTTTCACACTCTCCAACATTGCACAGACTAAAACCAAGACACACGTGTCCAAGAACAAGTGTAGTCAAGATGGCAGAAGGTATCGGTGAGGAAGGAGACACAAATCAGGAGAGGTTGCAGCTGTTTGCTTTTGCCAGAATATGCTAGGGAGACGTAAATTGCTTTCATAGTCATTTGTCCCTCTCTTTCACGCATCCTGGGAACAAAAAATAAGGATTGTCATTTGAGGAACTGAAGGATAGACAGAAGCTCCCAGAGATCTTTGCTTATTTCAGTCTCTGAAGGAAGAATGATTCATTTTGAAAGTTTTCTCTCTGCCATGAGAGATTACAAAAGTTTTTCACAGAATGAGAAGGACATTTTAATTTGGTTTTCTACAGAGAGATACCTGAAGTCTCCGTATGACATATTGTAATATGCTTATCTTTTCACTTGGCTTATCTTTTGCAGATATGCCAGAAAACTGCTGGCAGCTATCTTTAAAAAAATAATAAATTGTATGTTTTCACTTAAAGTTTTATGCAGTTTTTGATTGTTTTTCACATGTGGGGACTTTTTAATGAAAAACACCATGGCCTGAATCTTATTGTTAGGCACAACCAGAATGGACCCAGTGAATCAATATGATTTACCAATGCATTGACTCACTATTCAATAATTATTGGTTTGTTTAGTTGGGACTG